CTAGTACATGTATATTACGAAAAGATAGTGTATATTTTGTATATATTTTTTGTCATGTGTTTCCTATATTTTGAGAGAGATGGTACACTTGAAATTCAAATTGGGAAAAAAAATAAACAGCGCCTTAAGATGATGATGATCCATATCCACTTCTTTTTTTTTCTCCAACTGATTACTATATGGGAGTGATTGTAGGAAAATAAATTCCTTTGATATCAGCAGTTTACAATTGAGAACCAAATAAATGCACTTCATTTTGGTATGAATGCTAATAAAATATAACAGTTCGTATATTATCAATATATTTATACTAGTACAACTCCCGTGTATTACGGGTGCTTGCTAATTTTTTTCTTAAAATCTAAAATTAATGAGAAAAAATATTTAAAAATTTAAATACCTTTTATAAAAAAATATATATTATTATATATTTAGTATGACACTTTTTATTTGTGAGACTTACCTGTGTTATATTATAATAATTTTTTTAATTTACAACATATAACTACATTAAACATAAATATATCAATTGAGAAATAATTTATTTTTCTAATGAATTTTAATAAATATAATTATTTATTATTATTATAAATATAAATATAATTTATTTATTTCAATATATACAATATGGATGTCAAATCAAAGATCATCAAAAGATGATTAATTTGATATATTATATATGTAAAACCGATAAGAAATACAAAAGTTATCAACTTTTAAAATAAATTTATAATCCAATAGCTAATTGAAGGAAACAAATCAAAAGTTAGGGATATATTAGTCACTTAGTGTCTCACAATATAAAATTACAAGGAATTAAAGGGTTATATTAGTACAAGTGATATTAAAATACCTAAGTTAGCTAAATAATATTTATGGAATGTCCAAACCTAGATTATTAATTATTAATATACCAATATTATTTGTCCAAATCTAATTACGAAGCATGATTCTTCGCCAAGTAGGATTCCGAAGCACCAGAAGCAGCCACGTAGGCTCAGCGCATTCGGGAATTATATATAGGGAGGATTCTTGTGGTAAATAAAAAAATTAGCCATTGTTTTACTTGATAACATATTGGGCCTGCATAGTAATTCATGGTGAACATTTATCTTTCTTGTAATAAATTATACTAGTATTAGTAACCATGTACAACATGGGTGTTGAGTTAATAAATATATGTGTAAAGTTATTTATGTCTAATACCAAACCTAACTCCAAAGCAAAAATAATATAAAAACAACATCACGAAGCATAGATTTTCGCCATGTCAGCATCCGAAGCGTGAGAATCTGCCACCTAGGCTCAACACGTTTTGAATTAATATTAGGGAGGGATGTGCGTTGATAGGGCTTATAGCCTCAACCTGAGTTAACCGAACAGAGGGTCGAATAGGCTTAGCGGTAGAGCGGGTGAGAAGGGTCGTGGGGGGACCTCGACTGACTTAAACGGTCTTACGAAGACACTAGGTCGAGCGGGGCTCGACCGGATCAACGGTCGAACAAGGGCATGGGGTCGAGTGGGGCTTGACCGGCTCTACGGGCAAACAGAGGTCCAGGCTCGACCACATGAAGATAGCAAGGGGAAGTAGAATATCGACCCATATGCTTGAGTACCGACCAAGCTGCATTGGTACAATAGATATCCGAGGATTTAGGACCCGAGAAGGGAATCCGTACAATACGACACTATATGTACGTTGAATCTCACAATTATTAGGTAAGACTTCATTAATATCATTACTACAACATTTATTACACACATTTTCTCTCTAAGAAATCTGAGATTCTAACTTGGGCGTCGGAGGGTCTTGCGCTGGAGAAATTCCAGCGCGCTTTCAGGTACCGGCGAACGCTCAAGCTTGGGCCGAACCGAACAAGATAAACCAACGTCGTAACCGGGAAGAACCCTTCGTAAGGCCAGAGTCGCCGATCTCGGACCATATCAAATTGGCGCCGTCTGTGGAAACACCTAGCTCAACCGACATTGATTTGGTGGTATCTCTTACATCATAACCAGAAAGCAAGTGGAGAAGCGAGGATTGAAAATGATGGTGGATGAAAAGGAGTGTGAGCAGCGGGAGGAAGTCAACTCGTGGTTGCACAAGCGTCCTGTAGGGGCAGGGCCGCCGCTGGGATGGGTATTGTGTGGAGACACGCCGGCAACTCCAGCCCCTGCTGCTAGACAACCACCGGAGCTGTCGGAAGTAGCGGAAAACAGTCCAGTGCAAGCGGAGATGATGCAGACACCGACCAGACCGAGCGCGAACTTACCCCGCCGGGAGGTAGGCGGAGGGGAGCTGCAGCTGCAAGAAGAAACGACGAAGGGAACTGGCGCGAATACTCAACTTTTCATCCTGGAGCAGCCCATACAAGTCACGCCTAGCGCTTTGGAGAGGATGATTGCAGCAGCGGTAGAGGCCAGACTAGCGTCAATTTCACCCCCAGGTAGGGTGATTACTACTCGACATGAAGTGCAGGGTTTAGAAGCTCGACCCTCCGCCCTGGCACGAGAGACAATAGCTCTACCCGAAGTATTAGGGCAGGAGATGGTAGATCGACCGATGGGACAACTCATTGTGGGCGGACGTAAATATGAGTCGTAGCAATCGGTCTACTCATCCGGAGCCCCACCACAACATGTAAGGGATTCGACCATCACACGCATGGCGGAGCAGCTGCGCGAGCTCCAAGAAAAGGTCGATGGGCGTCGAGGTCCCTACCGTACAGGTCACCCGTTCGCGGACGAAGTGTTGGGTGCAGATCTGCCTCAAAGGTTTCGAGAACTCACCATGTCATACGATGGCTCTACAGACCCAGCTCGACATCTCAGGAGCTTCGAGAACATAGCGGTGTTGCACAGGTACAACGATCCGGTGTGTTGTCGAGCCTTTTTGACCACGCTGAAGGGTGCGGCCCGAAATTGGTTCCACCAGTTAGCGCCAGGCGTAGTCAAAGACTTTCGAAGCTTCAACTCGGTATTCACCAACCAGTTCGCAAGCGCGAGGAAACATGAGAATATGTACTTATCCTTGATAAACGTGCAACAGAGGGAGGAAGAGACATTGCGAGCCTACATAGCCTGTTACACTCGTGCATGTGTCGAAGTACCAACGACCACGGAGGAGATAAAAGCTGGTGGATTAACCCGAGGGCTACGACCCGGGCCCTTTCGAGATTCCTTGTCCAAGAGACTGACTCAAAGTTATGACAAACTGTTGGCGAGGGGAAGCAAATATATGACCATGGAGGAGGCGCAAGCAGACTTCTTCATACAAGATGGTAGGAAGGAGAAGAAGCAGAAGCCGCGACCCCCTCGACCCGATGATAAGAAGGGGGAGCGAGAGAACAAACAGGTAGACGAAAGAGGGTGGAAGCCAGGCCAGCGATTCGACCGTCACACCCCCTTGACTACCCCAAGGGGGCAAGTGTTCGCGGTATTAGAGAAAAGAGGTAGCTTGGGGATGTTGGACCGACCTCGGCCCCTGCCAAGGAAAAACGAAGTACCTATAGGGTGACCAGAGATCTTTTATCGTTATCATAGAGAATACGGCTACACAAATGACGCTTGTAAGGAGTTAAGGGACGAAGTAGAAAGACTAATACGGGCGGGACACTTGAAAGAATTTGTGCTAAGGGATAAATACCCAGAAGGGAGAAAGAAGGAGAATGATAAGAGGGGGCGATAGGATCGCGAAGAGCCCGATAAGGACCAACAGAAGAAAGATGTAATTCATATGATCTCTGGAGGCCCGACGGACGAAGACTTGAATCGGGCGAGACGGAGGCACGCGAGGGCATTAGGAGAACATACGAGAGAAGATGTCCAACTGGCAGAAGAAATACTCCTTATCCACTTCGGCCCTGCAGACCTTGGGGGTATTGCGGTGCCACACAATGATGCGTTGGTGATAACAGCGGAGATAGCAAACTTTGGCGTGGAACGCGTTTTTGTGGACACGAGAAGTTCGGTGGATATACTCTTCAAACACTGCCTCGACAATATAAAGCTAGAGCTACCCCTATAACTGGTGCAAACGACCTTGTATGGCTTCAATGGGGTAGAAGTCGTTCCCCTCGGCGAAGTGGTCCTCCCAGTGGCGTTAGGGGAAACACCTATAAGGCGAGAGAAGATGATCAGATTCTTAGTCGTTGAGACTGGATCGGCATACAACATGATTTTAGGGCGGCCCAGCCTGAATACCTTCAGGGTAGTAGTATCGACCTATTGCAGGAAGCTGAAGTTTCCCGTGGGAGGCAAAGTAGGGGAGGTAGAGGGCAATCAGAAGATGGCGAGGTCTTACTATCAGGTCACCATCAAAGAGGGCCAGTCAGGAAAGAGAAAAGCCGAAGAGATTGTAGGGCAAGCTAAAAAGCAGGTGAAAGTCGACATCGCTACCCGGGACGAACTTCTCGGGATTGAGCTGGTCGAAGGGGTAGAGGGAAAAACATCCTGAGTAGGAAAGGACCTGCCAAATAATATACGAGAAGAACTGGTGTAGACGCTAAGGGAGTTTGTGGACATATTTGCTTTTAGCCCCGAGGAGCTCACCATTATAAACCCTAAATTGGCGGTCCATCGCCTCAATGTGGACAAGAGGATAAGACCTATGAAGCAAAAGCGCAGACATTTCGGGCATGAACTCGACCTGGTCATTGAGAAGGAGGAAGAAAAGTTGCTGCGGGCAGGACATGTTAGACCAATTCAGTTCCCTGAGTGGCTATCGAACGCGGTCATGGTGAAGAAGGAGCTGGACAAATGGAGGATGTGTATGGATTTCCGAGACCTGAATAAAGCTTTCCCTAAGGACCATTACCCACTGCCGAGGATTGACCAACTAGTGGATTCAACGGCAGGGTGCGAAATTTTGAGCATGATGGACGCCACGCAGGGGTATCACCAAATCCTGTTGGCAGAAGACGATCAAAAAAGGGTGAGCTTCGTCACGACCAAAGGGACATACTGCTATGTTGTTATGCCCTTCGGTCTGAAGAACGCAGGGGCTACGTATCCACGCCTAGTCGACCAAATGTTCAAGGGCCAGATTGGACGAAACATAGAGGTGTACGTCGACGACATGCTGATAAAGAGTAGGCGAGCCATCGACCATGTAGGAGACCTAAATGAGACTTCGCCACCCTGCGGGAGTATGGTATGAAGCTAAATCTAGCTAAATGCAAATTTAGAGTCAAAACAGGTCGATTTCTAGGATATGTTGTCACCGAGAAAGGGATCGAGGTGAATGGCGGCCAAGGTGCAAGCGGTTCTGGAGATGAATCCCCCCAAAAATTGTCGCGAGGCCCAAGTGTAAGCGGGCCAATTGACAGAGCTTAGCCGATTCATAGCCCAGGCGGCCGAGAAGGGATTTCCGTTCTTCAAGGCCTTGAAAAAGGGGGCGAAGTTCGAATGGACGATGACCGCGCAAGAGGCTTTCGATCGTCTTATAGAGTTCCTAGCAGAATTACCTCTCTTATCAAAACCAGAGCCAGGAGATGAGCTAGTACTATACCTGTCCGTAGGGCAAGTGGCGGTCAGTTCGGTCTTGCTAAAGGAAGAGGATCGACAGCAAAAGCTTGTATACTACACGAGTCGACTATTGCAAGGGGCGGAGGTTCGATACTCCGATATAGAGAAGGTGGCCCTGGCGCTGATTATCACGGTCCGATAGTTAAGACCGTATTTCTTGAACCATAAGGTCATCGTCCGTACCAACATGCCGCTGGGAGATACATTGGGTCGACCCAATGTGTCGGGCCGACTAACTAAGTGGGCAGTAGAGCTTGGCGAGTACGACGTAGTGTTCGAACCTTGAAGGGCCATAAAAGCCCAGGCCCTAGCAGATTTCATCCGAGACCTAACCACCGACGAAGAGCTCGGACTATGGAAGACATACGTGGATGGTAGCTCCGCCATGGGGGTAGTAGGAGTCGATGTAGTTATAACCACGCAAGAGGGTGACCGTCTTGAGTACGCGGCAACAACAAAGTGAAGTATGAGGCGATGATGAAGGGTGTTCAGTTCACTCTAGCCACGGGAGGTCAGCAGGTCCAACTGCACTCGGATTCACAGCTCGTAGTGGGCCAAATCAAGTGCGAGTTCGAAGTAAAAGAAGACCGAATGAGAAGGTATGTGGATAAGGTGAGTGAGTTGCTCAAAGGCTTTACCAAATAAGAGATCGTCCAAATACCACGAAAAGAAAATATTCGGGCGAACTTGCTTGCCAAGATGGCCAATTCATTAGCAGAATGCGGTTCTAGGTGGATAACCCTCCTGCAGATGGAGTAGAGCTCGATAGTCCAAGTAATGGCAGTAGAAGAAAGGGTCGATTGGAGGGTAGAGATCAGAAATTGGCTGGCCCGAGCAGAAAAATCAGAAGATAGAAGTGCCGCAGAGAAGCTGATGAGGAGAGCCTCAAAGTTCTTCTTGGAGGGGATAACATATACAAGAAGACGTATGAAGGACCGTACCTCAAATGTATGTCGAGCGAAGAAGGGGATTACGTGTTGCGAGAAATCCATAAGGGGTGTTGCAGTAGCCACATAAAATCGCGGGCGCTTGTTGGGAAAGCATTGCGGACGGGCTACTTCTGGCCTACCATGCGCGCTGATGCATTAAAGATGGTAACAACTTGTCGGCCTTGCCAGATGTACGATGTGGCCACACATAGACCCGCAGAAGAAATGATGCCAATGACGATCCCTAT